AACATTATATATAGCGTTTGATAAGCGTTCCAAAAGAGTTCAAACCTTTTGGCGTTATATAAGCATTCTTATAAAGTTTGAAAGCGTATAAACTCTCAGAAAACTCTCATTAAACGGTTATCAACGCTCTGTAAAGCTTCTTATTTTCGTCAGGGTAATCTTGACGTGACACGTTATCGAATCATTGCCTGAGGCCTGAACACTCGTGTAGATTATGCCGTATCTCACATTTTGTACGCTATGAGACGCACGCGTATCCAATCAACACAATTTCATATTTTTGTGCAAAATAAAATCTTTTTCATTATTTCTTGCTGAAACATCTGTTACTTACTGTGCTCCAAGCAAACACTTGGTACGTAAAACTTCTTTACATTATATACATATATGCACATATGTATATATATTATATATGTATTTTAAAAAACAAATAACTATAGAGAATAACTTATTATAACTTGCTTTTCTTATCTTATATAAACATCTTAGAAAAATAACAAAAATGTCCTTGATACACAAGATTAATACTACTAATAACTTTGCAAGCAAACAGATAACAGCTTCAGTGAGACATATTTAATTAATGTGTGGTACGATAACATTTTAATTCCTAAGTTTTAGAACATAACAGTTATGTAGCAAAGATTCTCTTATAGATATCTGTGTATGACATGTATTGCAATAATATTGTGTGTGTGTATGTATACGTATGTATAAAACGCGAGCAATAGAAATTTCCATATAAAATGTTTCAATTTTGTTAAATATACGCATGACAATAGTGCTCACACAGCACAAAAATCCGCACACAGAATCATTAGACGTTCAATAAATATCGTACGGAGCTGTAAACGTCAGAACAGAGATCTTTAATGAGAGTTTTGTGAGGTTTACGTAAACGCGCTGATTTAGCGTCTACGGGAGATTGTCATCCGTCGTTGCCGCGACAACATTATTTATTTACAAAGTTCGCGCGGTCTCAATGAGATCGCGCTTTATCACTCGCGATAATTCACTTCGATTATCGAAGTCGCGTCAAATACTCGCGGTTGGTCTGGCTCTGTTCAAGCGAACTACGCGGCGAAACGGTACGTAGACGTTTCATTTTTGAATCTCGCATAAATAATTACACAAGTAAATCGCCGGTTGTGTGAAAGATCGCAAGTTCTCGTTGCCGGGAGATAAACTTACCGCTGTACATTACCGTAAATACTTTTTTTTTCTAGAACTTCTGTATGCGTAATGTTATCACATGGAGATAGACAGCACAGCAAATGTCAACGATCGATAGTGTCACGAAAATGACTTGGTGAATCATATGTCGACAACTTAGCGCGAATCATGGTGTCCGGGGACAATGAAAGGCTGCTGCCTGAGCCTGACAATTATGCCAAGTGTTTTTACGATCTCTTCAAGAACGTCGCCGAGGCGCAAAGGTGCGACAAAAAGTGTGACATATAACCTCTTAGCGATTTGTTTACTTGATGCTATTGGCGGTGACTTCACCGCTTATCAATCTCAGCTGTCGTGTAATTCAGCTGTCATGCTAGTAGCGTAGCAAAATGAAAAAATCTAATTTTATATCGAATTAAACAGTTTATTTGCACAATAATCTTATTAAAAGTACATATCAAAACGTATTTTTTTTTTATCGGCATTGAACGTAACCTCAAACCGCGTTTGTTTATGAACAATTATTTTTCTTGTTTATGTTCATTTCTGTTTTCTTAGTTTATATGTTTCGAATATTTCTAACTTTGTAACAATAAAGTTTTAAAGTTTTTACTGTATTTGTTTTTGTTTAATTTAGATGTTTAATTATGTTTGTATATAGAGTAATTAAATTACATTAAATTTATAAATAATATACAAAATAGAAAAAAGTAATGTCTTTACATTGTACCTGATATACATACAATTATATATTATTATGAAAAATTTAACTTTAGTAATAGAAAAAATAATTTTATTACATTTGCAATATATAAATATGCGCACAATACATTTTATTCACGTAAATTACATTTTGACATAAGTTTTTTGTATGCAAAAATACATGAAAACAGTAAATAAAATAATATAACTTTATTATATTATAGAAATAAGGGAGATTGGAGAAAATGTAAAAAGAACAAAACTAATCGTAAACGAGAAAAAAAAAAGGTAACATTTATTGTAATCTCTTTTGATGTTATATATATTGATCTTTTATATAAATTTGAGATAAAATGTAAATTTTTTTATATACACAGATTGATTTAAGCGGAGAAATAAGTTATAATAATCCGCCAGAAATAGAAACATCTTGTAATGCCTCAGCGTTTGCGGTTTTTGCTAGTGTAAGAAATGCCATTTTAGAGAAACATGCAAAAGTGTCAACTGAAGTTTATAGAGCGTCAAATTGTAATTCCCCTCCACCAGATCTGTGGAACAGTGACACTACAGATTCAGAAACTGATGACGAAGATAGAATATCATCAATACAAAATTTACCAAAGGTAAATTGTATCAACAGTGTTTTATTTTGCTTTCATCATTGATAAATGTAATACTTACTAGTGACATTTTGTACAATACACATAACTAGGACATTCTTTTAATACAGATTGTAGGTATTGGTTTAAGAAGTGTGTTTGCCTTGATGCGAGAAAGCAGAACAATTGACTCAGCCTTATGTACAAAGGCATTGTCGGCTTTATTGGATGTTTTACAAGGACAACTACCAGAAGGCCTCAAATCTGAACCAGATGATGTCATTGGTGTGTATCATTCTTTTGAAATGTGACTGATGAATATTAATCATTTTAATATATTCTATGGGTTTTAGATCCATTATTTGATTTGTTACTTGACTTTGCAACTTCTCATGGTCCTGAGTCAGCTGCTGCCAATGACGGAAGTCACTTGACAGCTGTTGCTTGCGCCTGTTTATTGAGCCTTGTTGTAGTCAGAGGTGATACTGGAAGGTTGTTGGCTGCTATAGCAGCTTTGCTTATGTCACCAAGAGCATTAGCAGTACAAAATATTCAGGTATTTTATTTCCACAAGTCAATTATAATTATATTATTGAAATATTTTTAATATTTACTATAAACTTGTTTTACTTTTGCATTATAGATGCCATGTGTGTTAACGTCTCTACAGAGAAGTGTTCACGCGGTTTTATTAGGTAAACTCGTGAGACCAGATTGGATTACATACGGAGTTCCTAAGTGTTCCAAGATATATACCTCTATACTTAAGTTACCAAATGAAATGAATAATATGGTAGTGAATGAACGTAGTTTCGTAAGCGATGGAAAATATTTATATCTACATACATCTCGTGGTTTATTAAAAATCGGAAGTGGCCATGGTGGCACAATATGGGGACATATATACGTACATAAAACAGATTTTTACCCAACAGAAGTTGGATGGCTCGGTTATGCTAATGTTAGTTGTATATTGATTTTTATTTTTCTGTATATAACAGTAAATAATGTGTTTCGCTTATACATTGTGTTTTATTTATTACAGAACTCGTTATATTTTAAATGCGCACCTAGAAAACAAAGTGAACTATTAATTATTGACGCGGATACGCTTATAGTAACAGGAATTGCTGTACTGGAAGGAAAAGATTGGTCGTCTTCTGTTATGTTTTCTGACGGTGAAAATTTAGGAATGATAACAGCAGGCAAAGACGTAACTATAATTATTATTGTTGTTGTTGTTGTATACATTTTAGAGTTTGAAAATATAATAATTTAATTAAAAAATTGTTTTCTTATTTTAAGGATGGCTTTGTAGTGCGTACAATAAATACACTAAGTAATCTTGTCACAGTCTCTTCTGAACTGCCTCTGAAATTAGCAAGGAAATGTGTAGATATATTCGGATATGCGTCATTTGATGAAGAACAAGCAATACATACTTTAAATCCTGGATGTGATGATGAAATCGCAATGGTCACGGCAGGAAAGGAATTTGGTTTACTTAAAACTGTATCTGGAAAGGTACTATGCAAGATATCTTCAATTAATCATATAATCGATTATATATGGCTTAATTAATCTCTTAAATGCGCGTATTCTTTGCAGTTATTATATAGTGGAAAAGGAATTTGTCTAGGTATGAAGAGTAATACGAGGCCTAATAGGTGGTTAGAACTTACTTTCGGTAAAGGTCCAAGAGTTGCTCATTTCGCAGCAGGTCACGACGGTCAACATGTTGTTATGGTCATGGAAGATGGTTCTGTGCTATTTGCTGGTACTGCTAGACGTGGAGAAGATGGAGACAGTAGTGAGTTTAATTTAGACGATTTTTCAATTTATGCATTTATAATGATAAGATTATTAAAGTTATTTACATTATTTTATAGATAAAGCTCGTAGGCAACCAAAGCCGGTGAAACCAAAGAAAATGACAAAAGTCGAAGGTCAGTTTGTTATAGACGCCGCTTGCAACAACGGATCTACCGCTTTAGTGACAAAAGATGGCTCTCTATTAATGTTCGGCAAAGATACATTGCACAGTGATCCGGTAACAGGATTAGTTACTGATTTAAGGGATGTGTCTGTAATTCGTGTATCGTTAGGAAAGGCACATGCCGCGGTGTTAACTAATAAAGGACATTTGTATACCTTTGGTATAAATAATAAGGGACAGTGCGGTCGTGATTCCGCAACAGTGCATACGATGAATAAGGAAATGTCGGTGGTTGCGATGGAAATGGGTACGGGTGAGGACGAATTGATAGTAGCGGAAGAAGAGAGTGCGGATCCCGCGGAAGATTGGGAAGAGACGAGAGGAATGTGTCCACCAGGTCAGCATCAATGGAGACATCGCGTTTGCATGGTTTGCACGATATGCCGGGAGTGTACCGGTTATAGTATTTCATGTCTGAGCAGTATACGTCCGGATCGGAATCCCGGCCAAGAGTGCGGGTGCGGTGAGGGAGACAGCGGTTGCGCGGAATGCGGATGTTGCCGCACATGTGCTAGAAAGAGCTGCAGCAACGGTATGTCGGGTTCTAACTTTCGGGAATATCTGCAGAGACGATTGGGCGAGATAAAGCAACGACAAAGGAGCAAAGCGGGACCAAGTACCGTCAAGTACGGAGTGAAAATCAAAGGATCAAACAGTCAACGCGTAGCCGGTCCTGTTATTGTAACAAAGGGATTTCCAGAGAAGGTGATGCTCGGATTAGGAAGTACCTCTCTCGCGGCCGAAGAAGCGGTCGGTGGTAGCGACGTGGAGAGAGGAGATGCAGCGAGAATTGCTAGTATATCACCGGCTAGAGTTCCTATACCTAGCGAAAGTCCTGTGGTTCAAGTGTCTTGCGGTTTACATCACACGGTATTACTTTTGCAAAATGGAGAAGTATACACATTCGGCAGTAATATTTACGGTCAGTTAGGCGTAGGGGATTTGGTGGCACACGCCGGACCGGTTCATGTTAAATTACCGACTATTGCCATTCAAGTGGCCGCTGGTAGTAATCACACTGTGGTGCTTACATCAAAAGGCGAAGTTTACACGTTTGGTGCATACCAGAAAGGACAACTCGGCATGAATTGGTGGAACGGTCAAAACGAATCCGCAAACAGTACCTCTCAGACCAATCGCCGCACTGATCGATCTCAACCGTGGCACAGTTTTCCGAACGTAGTTCCGAATATCGGACCTCGATGGGGCAGACGTGCAACGTGGATTGGCGCATCCGGAGATCAAACTTACGTTAAGATAGACGAGATAAATTCAATCAGTTTGACGAGAAGCACGGTTATGGCAAATAAGAACTGTATTATTTTGATACCTCATCAGAATGAGCACGCCAATTCTTTTAAAAGCTTGGTGATAAGCAAACGCGACGGAACGTGCAACAGTTACAACGGCGCGGATCAGGTCGACTTTACCAATTGCGCCGCGTGTCTAGATCCTTTGTACAACGTTATCTGGACGTTTAATTCGGCGAATAACGAGATAAGCTTGTACAACATAATATCGACCGAAGCTAGAACAATACCCGGATTGGAAGCTTCTATCCTCAATCCCGGTCTTGCGCTCCCGGTTGTTTCAACTTGTTTCGTGACGCGTTCTCAAGCCGCGATGCATTTGCTAGCCTGTTTGGACACATTGACGCAGGCTCAAGACGAAAACTTATCGATAGTTGAAGAAAACGAATCCAATCAATCAGTACACGGCAAAGTCTACAGCCGCGAAGACTTTGCCACTGTTAGCCGATTCGAAAGTCACGGCGGAGGATGGGGTTATTCCGCTCATTCGATCGAAGCGATCAGATTTATGCCCGACACGGACATTTTATTAGGAGGATATGGATTATTCGGTGGTCGGGGTGAGTACACCGCGAAGATAAAGCTCTTTGATATCGGAATCGACGGTGGAGATCAAGAGACCGACGGAGAACTTCTCGCAGAGACAGAAGAAATACCATACGAATGCGGTCCAAGACAGAAATATTCTATCATGTTTGACGAACCAATTTCCTTGCAAGCAAATAGATGGTACGTGGCGTGGGCTAAAGTCGGCGGACCTTCCAGCGATTGCGGTTCTGGTGGACAAGGAATGGTCACGGCCGAAGATCAAGTTATGTTTTACTTCAAAACTTCTAAAAGATCAAACAACGGCACCGATGTCAATGCAGGTCAAATTCCCATGCTACTATATCGCGTAATCACACCCGAGAATCAAACATCAAACAGACAGAGAGATCAAGTCGAACCAATTTATGTTCTGAAGAGGGAATTCAGTAGGACCGTCACAAGAGAGTGTTTTCAGTCTCTAATATCTCTTCTTCAATGGAGTTGGAACACATTAAAAGCGGCATTGGCCGATACGGCTGTCCATATTGCGTCTTCGACTCACGCAATGCTTGAAATGGAACGACTGGTGTACATAAGTAAAGCTAGTTTAAGATTGCTAAGAACGTACACCAATGAAATCTATCCGAACCACGTCGTCAAGAAGACTCCTCCCGAATCGGTGCGTCTCGCGGAATGTATCGGCGAAGTGCGGGCGTTATTGCGTCAAATCTTGTCCGATTCTCTGCCAATCAGTTTAAAAAGTAAAGGAAAAACACGGTCTAACAAAAGTTCCGGCACCACTTTGGGGAATAAAATGACGAGCAGCATACTTGACGAATGTCACAAAACATTTGTAGCTTGTTATCATGCGTTTTATCCTACTGCGTATTTGAAATGGACATCCTTGTGCGACTTGTTATCGGAAATTGACAAAGATCAGGGAACAACTACAAGAGATCGTCTTCTTTCTGCTGTGCTGGCTTCTTTGTGCAATTCCGCGATACGGCTTAGATGCACGTTTCCGATCTTGAGCAATATTATGGACAACAGCGATAATGTGAAACGACAACTCAGTCCATCTGACAACGCCGGTTTACTCATGATGAACTCCACGGAAACTCATCAGTATCCGATTTTAGTCGAACAAATCAGCTACAAATCTCAAGTGGAGAGCTCTGGCAAAGAAACCTTAAATTGGTCGTTTCGCGAAGTGCTCGACAGATTGTTAGACTTAATACTAATACCGATCAAAAGAAGTCTCTGCAGAGAAAAGACTCACTCTCTGCCGGAATTGGTTCTACATTGCTGTTATTTGCTGGCACGAGTTATCGCCGAATTGGCCGCTCAATCGAGCGGAAACGAGGACGACTTGCAAGCGGCTTGCGGTAGACTTATGTATACAACGCCCTCGAGGTTTACAAGAACGAATCAATCGAGGTCGTGGAATACAGGCAATGGCTCTCCAGATGCTATTTGCTTTTCCGTCGACAGACCGGGCATTCTTATAGCCGGTGTTGGTATTTACGGAGGCGCAGGGATATATGAGTACGAATTGGAATTGTTAGATGATGTAAGTAAATAAATAAATATTTTATTATATAATTATTATAAATTTTAATAATCTGTAATAAATGTAGTTATTTTATTGTATTAGCAAAATAATACTGGTAACGATCCGTCTCATACTCAACGGTGGAGTAGCTTAGACTTTACAAAAGGATCCTTTGGACCGGAAGACTGTATTAATGACATAGTAGAATTGAAATTTGACAAACCAGTACTTATAAAAGAAAATGTTAAATATGCCATTAGACTGCGCAACCGTGGAGGACGAACGAGTAACGGTGACGGTGGTTTGAGCGCTGTTAAAGGAGCCGATGGCACAACGTTTACTTTCACTGCTTGTTCCTTAAGTTTTAACGGTGCGTAATCTGAACAATGCTTAACATTATATATTATGCAGTATATAAATTATCAATATCAATGTTTTATGCTTTTGCAGGTACAACGCAAACTAGAGGTCAAATACCGCATATTTTGTATTATTCAAATCCGCAAGATTCCGATGGGCAACAAACGAATAATGCTATGGCGGAGGTGCAAGCAAGAAAATGTACTCTCGCCATGACCGCGACGATTATTCAACGTTCGAACGAAATTTTTTCTTTGGCTAGAGAGAGAGCAGAAGAAGTAATAGCGAATGAAGTCCTTGGTAACGCGACCTTTGTAACGACTCTCTTGCCCCTTGTAATGGCACACATCAGTCCTCTAGCTACGTCAGATCCGAGAGTAAGTAATTCCAGAGAGTTTTCAGAGAGTCTAAAGTTTCCAGAGAGTCTAAACTTTAGATGTAAAATATAACATATGATGTGTAACAGTTGTTTAATATAAATGTTTTGTCTGTTATCTTTTAGAGCAGCGTGCAAATTCTTACCTTGATACAGGAGATGCTTCCGCACGTTGCAGCTTTGAATTTATTGTCCTCGATGGGGACTTCTCAAATATCCCAGGATAGTGAAACTCAATCACACTTTGCTCCTCCAATTACTACTAGTCATCATTATACTTGGCTAGAGAGTGAACATCCTTACAAACCGGCGACAGTGTCATATTATAAAGTTACTTTTCCAGAAACAGTAAAGTGGCTAACTGTTGAATTTACTCCGGATTGCGGAACTTCACAGCCAGAAGATTATCTACAACTTTATATTCCGAACCTAATTCCCAACTCTTCCGCTGGGTAAATACATGTACTTACAATATGTAAGTACATATTATACGCATTTTATACTAGTATAATATTTTTGTTTTTACAGGACAATTTTGAATATTACAAATGAAGATACTCCTCTATATTGGCCAGTATTGCATAAGTTGAGCAATATACAAAGCCAATGGCCTCAAAATGCCGTTGTCTTACCAGGTCAATATCAAAGTATCAATTAAAAACACTGTAAATGATATACATAACATGTTTAAGCACATTGTTTGATATTATTGTTTAGGAAACGAAGTAATATTTTCTTTGGAGACTGCCTCTGATTATATGAAGAATGAGAGTTCCATCACATATGGCTTTAAATGCTTAGTTATCGGTTATGATTGGATAACATCCGGCCACGGTTTAAAGAATCTAGAAATAGAGTTGTCCTTTCTCGGAGGTGCGTGTGCGGCAAGTCTCATGAAAAAAAATTTATCGTTGCCACCGGTATCTTGTAAGTATATGTTTGAATTATTTTCCGTATTAATAAACCAATAAATATGAATATTATGTTCATGAGTTTTAATGTACAATGTATAATGTTTTTAATTATAAAAATAATATAGAGTTTCTTGCATTAATCGATAATGCTACAATTTTTCTAGCTGAAGAGGTTGAAGAGGATTTGGATTCAATGCAGGAAACGGCAAAAAGAATTTTCTCCGTACATTCGACATTACTTGGACGAGGATTTGCACTCGCATCGCCTCCTACAGTCTTGCAGGCTCTCGACGGCGTACTTCCATACAGGTAAGTAATAATAATAATCTTTATCGGTACGCGACCTTGCGGTTTAGCTTTTTGGACTTGGTTTACGCAAAATTTTGTTCTTAACCTCTCTCTCCTTTACATGCCTTCTCATTCACTTTCTCTTTCTTCCTTTTTTTTCTCAGCTCTTTTAAGTCCTTTCCATTCATTTTACCGCCGGTCTGTTTTTTTTCTTGTTTAAAATTTTCTTTATTCTTAATTTTTCTCATCCTATATAACTCATTATGTGTTCTTTTTTCCCGCAAATCTGACAATCAAATCTTCTTTTTTCTTCTTTTCTTCATCAAAAATTTGTTTTTTTCTTCTTTATTTTCGCATTTTTTTAATTTACAGTTTATTATTTAATTTATAATAGTGGAACAATTAAACCAAATTCTTATTTAATAGTGAACCAAAATCACGGCAAATAGATCACATACGAAATTTATGTAAATATCTGACGATATCTAATCACCGTGGCACGTTAATCGCACATTTATTTTTCGATGAATGCAAATACATAAACATATATACGCGTAGCGCGGTAAGTAGTAAAATATTTATACGTGTTTTGAACTATGAGATCGATTCAAAGTTTACACAGTGGAATACTATAACTAGTTTCATACATTTGCTATCATCTATATTCCACGAATATGTTAGGATACGCTGACGGTAATTGATTTTCGTGAATAGTTATTATATTAAATAGTATACTTACCAATTAACTAAAGAAAAATTAGTAGTATATCTTCTTGGATGGATAGAATTAGTCTTAATACCTTGGATAGATAGAATTATACCTTGGATGGATAGAATTAGTCTTAATACCATTAGCGTGTATGTTATTGATATCGATTTTATTCGATCGTTCAATGCGAAACAAATTATACAGTCGGCGGGCTGTCGATATATCACAGTCTCACGATAATTATAACTATATATGACGTTATAAATTGATTTTGTTCACCATCACGGTAAAATTACACACGTATACACCCATACATACCTGCACATACAGTTTTGCATACGTCGCGGTTAATTAGACTCTGATCTTTCGATACGCGGATGCTAATACGACTTATCTTGACGAAGTTCAAGGTATCGAGTATGATAGAGGCACAAAAAGTTCTGAGGTTTAATCCCGTTGTTTCATGCGCTCGAGACGAAACGTCAGTTATCTTCGAGTGCTTCGGGCCGCGTCTATTTAATAAATTAATTCTGCCGTACAATATGTTACACTTTTCGACACTTGCTTTATTTTATTTTTCTTTCTGTGTTTTTCTTTTTGATCAAATATGTTTTTTGTTTTTACGATTATTGAAATATTAATTCCATACGCGATATGTGCCTCCTTTTAATTAGAAAAAAAATGAGAGTAACGTTTATTTATATTTATTGATTACGATCTCCACACAGGAGTATACTCATAATCCGGTTCTTTAACATATTTGCGTTCTACGCAGATTATAAAACGGAGTCGAAGAATATGTTGCTACGTGACGGGATGTACACTTAAAGTAATCTTTGTTTGCTTGTACAAGATTATTTGTTTCACTGAAATCTTTCAGCGTTACATTTTAACGCACAATGAATTCTGCGAGCAAGTATGACATTTTGATTTCCAAGAAGCTTATCTAAAATTAAGTTTAAAATTATAATAACAATAACAACAGTTTATTGCCAAAAGTTTTATAGCAAGCGTATAAATAAATATATCGGCATTAATGTAAGTAGAAAAGTTTGCGATAACGCGAAAAAAGAATTTTTTAACACTTGACACGTAAAAATTAACTTATATCAGGTTGTTGTTTTGCGAAGTTTATTTTTCTCGTGAGTGTTCATGAAAAAACAGTGGCGGACTGTATCATTACATTTGTTTGTAAATTAATATTTCTTTTCGAACACAAATGTTTGATTTAGACATAATTACTTTTTTATTTTATAATAAAAAACACTTGTGTTGCGCGCGAAATCTGTGTTTCAAAACTATAAAATAAGTGTACGCATTTTAATTTACATAAAATTCGAAAAATAATTATTATAAATCGAGAAAAATATATATATCGAAGTCATAATTGATAGAAAGGACTAAAACAATTAAAACTCACAAATGTGTTAGTAGCTTATTGAGTAGCTATTTTACATCCACCACTGACACCTAGGATACGAAATATTTTTATCTTAGTAAATTGATTTATTTCCGATTGTTAACACGTGTTACATTACTGTCAATCTTCTTCTCTATAAAAATCATAGATTTTGATATGAAAGCTTAGCGAGGAGTTTCACATCTTCATTTTATGTTCATCATTTTTTTCTTTGTTCGAGAGATCAGAATGTTTACGGAGAGGACGGACACACGGAAAGTGTGTGCGTGTGCGTCACTCTAGGAATGGCACAGCTGTTCGAGCGTCATCCCATGTTTTTGGTCCTTTCGTACTGTGATTTTCGCTCGAAACGCTCACTAATATGTAATGTAGTGTCATATCGACAAACGGGCGATCTATCGATCGATAAACTTAAAGCAACGGGAGTGCGAAAGGTCGGCCCAATCGCGTATCTTACGCAAGACAGCGAGTTTAGGATTTTCTTCTACATGAATTACTTCTCTCACTCTCTTCTGCTTTTTAATTTGCATCTTAAATCTCATTACTTTATCTTGTACAACATACATTGGCCTTTTTACTGTTTTTATCTTGTTTTTTCCATACACACACACACACACACACATACACGCGCGCGAATTATTTAACTAATCATAAACTTAACTAGCAACAACCGACTATTCAAATACGCGAAATTTTGCTCGTAAAACTTTTTAATCGCCGCGGAACAACGTGATCACCTTCGAGAGAAAATGACGATTTAAAAGGAACGAAGAGACCGCGGTGATCGGATAATCAGCGACCGCTCGTGATATGTGAATGGAAGCTTACGAACTGCGTTGTACTAGAAAATATTAAATTAAACAAAGAGCGGGACAAAGTGTGTCACAGGACTGCGCGTACGCGCTTTCGCATTTTCTCTTATTCACGTTTCGCCAAGCAGCAACGATTTACACAGTTTATATGCACGCGCGATTACAACATTTCAAGAAGAGTTTTTTTTCTTCTTTATTGAAAAGAGTTATCTCACCATGTGAAAATTTTCACTGTTTTTCATTGGCGCTGATCTCGCGCAGCGTCTCTCTCTCTCTCTCTCTCTCTCTCTCTTTCTCTCTCATAGCTTGTACACTCGAAAGCGACTTGACGTTTCCGCCCACTCGAGTTCCTCCTCAACAGGAGCGATGATCGTAGGCCTTCTCGTCGAGCCGCCCGGGGCGTCTCGTTACAACTCGGTCGTGAGCGGCTCAGCCTTCTCGACGATCACGTGGAACTCCGTCTCTCGGTACAGTCTGCCATCCGGCACTACCATGGTTATCCTACTGTCGACTGGCGTGCCGGACGTTGCCGCTTCCCTGCCGATCACGCCGTTTTTCTTCGAGACCACGTCGGGCGCGTTGGTGGGCACGCTGATCCACTTCTTCCGGTTGTTCCGTCTGCGCCTCCGGCAGCACCAGACGATCAGACACACACTCACTATTAGAACGAGCACGGCGCCTACGATGATCAGAATGAAAACGAGCATTGAACCACCGAGCGAACAGTGACGCGCCTCGTAATCGACGAAACTTGTCGGCACACCGTCCGATCCGCCATCCAGACACAAAAAGGTCTCCGGGGTCTCGTTGATGGGCTCCTGAGGCTGGGAGTGGGGCGGTATAAGACTGTTCTGCCTTGTGTAGAATCGCGAATACACGTTTGTGTAGTTGAGTACGTTGTTCTTCCACACGGGTAACATTTGACAGTCGCAAGACTGCGCGATCAAAAGATTGTCGAGCTCTGGTCGGAAGCTTGTGCGGTCGAACATGAGCGAGCCTTCCTCGAAGTTTTCTACGGTATTGTTCTTGAAAATAAAGTCGTGCATCTGCAACGACGACGACGACGACGACGACGATCGAGCCTCGCGATCCGCGCGAATACCTAAGAAAGCGCCCACCCCAATGTTGCCAAAAGTGTTGTTCTTGACGATTACGGCACCGCGTGACGTTACGTCGAACGCTTCGCTTTCCAAACTATCGATTACACAATTCTGTATCGCCACTGTACGCGGGCTTCTCAGAATAAATGCGTTGCTTCTCACAACGCCTATTTTTACGCCGTCTAACATGAACTTGTAGACTTCGATGTCGTTCATAACGCGACTAGGCATTTGATCGCCGAAACTGCCGCCGATCACATGCAGATAGTTGACTTCGAACTTTTTGAAGGCTTGCGCCTCGATCGTATCAACGCGACAATTTTCCAGTCTCAAGGTGTCCGTATGAATCAGATTGGCGAACGAAAAGGCACTGAGCTGGCCGATCCGCACGTTCTCGAACGTGATCGCCTCGACATCGCCGCGGAACACGAAGCTCGGCATCACATCGATGCTGCTGTTCCGCACGGAGATCCGCGTGTCCGTGCTGTGTGACGACAGCTCGAAGCTCTCTCTAACCAGAGTCAAATTTGCCACGTTTACCAGATCCACCGATCGCAGTCCGGCCATCGAAGCCAGACTTGAGTTTGTGAGAATCACGGACGAGCAGTTGTTCACCACTATTCGGCTGGTGTGCGGACTCAGCCGTCTGTCACCCTCCGTAGTCAGGATCAATTCCTGCGGGTAGAAACAATTTCATTAAAACTTTCTATATTTGATATATTGTTTCAGAAATAAGAGAATCATTATTTCAATTATTATTATTATATATATTAATTTATTATATTTATTATATTTAAAAAACATGTATACATGAATACGTTCATAATATATATATATAAATTATAGAGAGAGAGAGAGAGAAGAAATATATTTCAAAACTAAGACGTTCCAAGATAATATCGTTAACAAGATGTAACAAATTAATCCTTGATATTTTCAAGGAGGAAGAATTATAATATTCGCGTGCAACTTGATGTAGTATGCCGGTGGGATTCTAATAGAGGTCGAATGGCCATAATTGCCGGTCTAACTATCCTAATTATTCGCGACGCGCGCGCACGCCCTGCAGTCTCGCTAAATAGCGCAATAATATCATTATAATCACGATGAAAGAGCCGGACAGCTTGATTTTGCGACATGTCGTAATTGTCGTTTCCGTTCGCGTCGCGAGACGTCACGCAGATTGCCAACTCGGACGAAAGTCACGTTCTCTTCCTCTAATCAGTCGTTTTTCCCTATCGGTTGTTTACGTGAATTTACATCGAGCTCTCTTTGTCGGATTTTCCGCTCTGGCGCGCGCTAATACGTGTTTGCACTTGCATACGAATTAGGTGACTTGCTCGGGATTATCTGCTCCGCGCGAACTCGTCGCGCGCGTTGCGCACGTAAAACGATATATACTTACTTTTCTTCGATATCAGAACGAAGATAATATTCCGCGCATCTCCTATACATATTTGCGAGGAAACGACGGGACAACACGGCGGGATAATTTCGCACAAAGCTCGAGAAGCGCGTCTATTTTGTTATACTCCAATGTGTCGCGCTACATGTTGTTGGAGAGCTAATTCGCGCAATGTTGATTCATTTATTTACGCCCGCTGCAACTTTCGTTCGCAACGTCGGAATGTCGCCCGATAACGCCTTGCCGACACCTAAGTTATATCGAACGGTCGATCGCGCAAAACACGTATCTCGCAGTTCTCCGCAGCTTTGATTGCTACAAAGAGACCGCGCGCGAGATATTTCGTATGCGTCGCTCTAGGCCACGCAGTGCTCTCATTAATTATCATTCTCTCTCGTCTAATCGATTCCACTTAAACGTCCAATTCCGCGAGAGATAATATCTGTTAATTTCGCAATGTAGGACGATTCGCAGTTGCAGGATCGATAATCGTCATTTTCGTTTCGTGAAATTGTTTCTACAGAAGACAAAATTTATTTTTGCACGTGGATAAAAGATAACATATTGAAAGAGCAGTCCCGCGAGAATGCGATAAAACAACACAGGAAAGATATGCGAGACAGAGTTGAATAGTAAAAATAGAGAATAGAAATAAAAAGGCGCGACTCCAGACTGATGAAAGAGGACGGTCTTTACGCCATTCTTTTTCAGACGCTGTCGTTCTTAACGTCTTTCGTCCCTTCCTGCTTCTGTTCGAAATTCTCTTTTGTTCTTGTCCTATTGTTCGCGGCTACTTTTCGGACGCACGATGTCGGGCGGAGATTATCAAGCGACGTATTGTACGTGTCTATTCTTGAAGTAAAATCCACTTTTATTGCTTATATCTTGTGTGGGAAATTTATGAGACCAGAGATTTATGCGAAAAGTACTAAAACTCAAGTTTCAGCCTTCCTTTCGGAAAAATATTGTTCAGAATATTTGTGACGACCGTCGAATAATGTATTGCTTTTAGAACACAAAAGCGTTCGGGAATTATTGCTCTCAGCTTCCGAAAGAGAGTCGTTATAATTTCGGATAAATTAGTCTCGGAAAATTCAACGTTAATTTGAATTGAGAAATTTGACTCACACCGAAGAGTTGCGATCGCATCGAGGAGTGTAATTAACGTGTCGCGACTTGTGTCCATCGAGTTTGGTTGACACGTTCCGAAGCTCGAAAAGTCACAAGTAGGTCGTTACGAAACGAATTGTAGTGACTCTGCGTGAAAGATCCCACGGGAGACCGAAATTTTCTTTCACGTGATTTTCCCACATTCCGTGAGAAATGCGAGAAAAGCCACAAGAAGTACAAAAGTGGAAACGATGCTTTTTTTCAAACCTTCAAACAACGCATCTTTATTCAAGTACTTTCTCCGTTTTAGTCACGCCTAGTTTCCCGCTGGATGCATCACTTTCTTCCGTATTCTCTGGATATTTCTGCGCGTCACGTCTAATCCGGTATTCTTTTTCTCGCGTCGAGCGTGCGCACTTGTCGATTACCGCGGAAGCGATTCCCGGGAGGGAATTAAAGTCGATCGGCGAGCGGATTAGTTCATCTCGAACTAGTTCCCGGCTTTTTGCATGTTCGTTGTGTGACGTTTTCCCGGGTGAAAATTTTCGCGAGAAATCGCGCGATTTCATCCAACGATAATTCGGAATTTACTCGAGAAATTGCGAGCGAATTTGCTCTCGATTATGGCAGTTAATCGAAGATGCCTTACGTCTTTTTCCCTAATCGAACGGGAAAAGGTTCATAGAGTCCGTTACGAAGACACTTCTTCGGATGGAAATGAAAATCAGATTGGTTTAATGGGTGGGATTAAGTTCATCGAGAGATATATACGCGTGATTGTCGGATTCCGCCACGAGAAAGAGACAGAAGAAATTCTGAAATCGAAAACGAGAACGGAAAGTGGCATAAATGGAACCGAAAACTCTTTTACGATCTATTAAGAATTTATGCACAACAATTCTTCTTCATATTTATTTGTCATGATTTTTGTACTGTTCAAATTTTCCACTACATTTTCTCCGTTTCACGCTTTTATTATATAATAAAATTTTAAGAGCGAGAGAAAGAGAGGGAGAGAGAGAGAGAGAGAGAGAGAAAATGATCGATGCGATTTGTTTCCACTAATTATTCGGCGTTGATAATATCTAATTATAACAAATTTGCCAATTGGCACGTGATTATCGCGTTTTCGTTTTAATCAGCACTTCGCGTGGGGACGATTTGATTTCTCAGCGACGGTAGTATTTAATGAGCTATTTTTACACGCAAACTACTTTATTAATTTCCTCTTGTCCAGGTTCGTTTATTAGCTTGTTACAACAATAACGCTGGAAACCGATTGTTACTCCAGTTTACTTCGCATCATGCAGCTCAGTCTGCAATTTTCTCCGCATAAATTGGTACGACACATTGATGTCTTTCCACTTTTACAAGTATTTTCATAATCGCGCCCATCTTTTTCTTATAAATGGCATCCTTACGTTTCCGACAATACTCGCGATCGTTACTTTTACACTCTGTCCGACTCTTTCTTTCGTTGTTTCGTGTATTCTCACATTTCTCTCTTGTTACGGCAAGCGCGAGTTAGATCGGGCTTGCTAAAAGGCTCTCTCAATTATTTACGTTCTTCGTCAATTATTCAGCGAGCAACCATAGACTTGCTCACCGAAGGATCCATCGGTGACCCCTTGTCGTTAGAGAAGAAGTTTAAAACATTTCCGATTACTTTGAAATCGAGTTTCTTTTATTAACCAGTTTTAACTCAAACTGTCTTCGCAAAAGCAGTTTTAATGCATGATTTAATCGCTACCGTTAACTTGGTATTCTATTAGATATATTTCTTTGGTTTTCGCTGTCTAGACTGCTTTATTTTTTCACATAAAGCTATTATAAATAAAATTTAAAGCTATTATTAAATAAAACTATTCCAAATTATTTTCAAGACTTTTATATGCCATGTATTGTTCGCAAAAATAACTTTAGAAAACATATAACTTAATTATCAATAGATCTGACTACTTTTGTACGTCAACTAAATTTGTTCTGTTAAATTAGCTTGTTAGTTATTTTAATTATTACTATTTGAAAAAGAACCATCAGAAGAAAGAGAAAAACAAGATGTATTTTAATATTTAATTAATACTAAAATATATCTAAAATATACCTTTCGACTATACGTTGAAAATTTCATTTTTATCGTATTTTTTTGTGCTCGTCATTGAAATACAATTGTGTTTACACGCGTGATATGTTGTCGACCATGGCAAACACATTTTCGGCTGTCAATTAGCCGTTCTACAGAAATTCACAATTCTGTTTGCAATTTACATTTCTTATCGTTATAGCGAGTCACTTGGTTTTTTTTTGTTCGTAATCTGTCTTGTATCTTTTGCTCGACACTAAAGTTCGTGCGCGTTTTGTTTTTTGCTCGTATCTACTACGCAAGTACAAGGCCGTCGAAATTGTCGAGACGTCTATACCATTTTGTCGTTTATTCGAGCTCATCTTCTTCTTCCGGCGGTCGTTTTGTCACGCGCGCGCGAATTTTACGGATCGAGTTTACGTTGTATTGTTTGAATTGACCGCCAGCGTGCGCGTCATGTGTACTCTTCGTGCACTCGGAGTGGGCACAAAGAGCGCTTTATCGCAATAATGACAGCGCAAGAGAGAGACGTTCCTCCGCAAGGACACAACGCGGTAACATTATCTTTCTCCGTTCGCGGTCCGCGCAGTTAAAACAACGTCGTTGCATCGCGAAATATTTGCCCGCGCTGTGCTCGTATAGCAGCGTCCCGATTAAATTTCCGTGGCGCGCACTCAACCCTCTCCGCGCGCGATGAATACGAGACTCGTTTACGTAGCCCGGCACCGGAATTATTCCCGCGTGTGAAATTGATAAAATCTCGGAATTTTAAATCAAATAACGCGAGGTACTTTAATTGTAGTAACAGGGTTGATTGTTTTATCTTGTCGTATAATCGTTGGGCGCAATATATGTACATATATTCGCACACGACCATTCTCTCTACCTCAAATCGCATTCATTACTTTCTTATCGTGCCACTTCAACCTCGTACTATCGCGCGCAGCACTGCATTCTTTATCGCGGCGAAAAAATACGAAACTCGGAAAGGGCTACATTCGTAGGAGCAAGAAAGATGAAGAAAACGCAAGAAGAAGAAACTTTGGCGAAGTCGAATTTCAAACTCTCATCATTGCGCACGAAAAAAGTTGCTCCGAATTTATTGAATAAATTCCGACGATGGAAGAGGCGATGATACTCGCGTTACTACGCTCTCCCTCCACGCATTCGATTTGATTTAAGAAAAACCGACAATTTCCGCTTTCGCCGTGTGAGGAAGAAAGCGCACGTTGGCTAGCGCGCGTGATCTTCAAGTCCGACAACGCTCGCTCGCTTATCGCGATATCGCGTTGCGATTATGAATCATTCGCGCCGCTGGCACGTAGATTCTTCCCGATCGTGCCAGTACTCCTTTAATATCACGGATTGCCGGAAGCATCGAAAACGCGCGCCGCGAATCAAGCGAAACAAACGAACACCACGGCTTGCGTGATCGTAGATCGCCGAGGGATTACTCGCTATTTTTTTCCGAGCGTACGTGGCCCACGGGGGATAAAAACGAAACATTTACGAGCGGGTGGAGAAGGATCAGTGGATCCATCCTTCCTCACGCACCCATCTACCTGTCCGCCCGCATCCGCCCTTCTCGCCCGCGCAAGACCCTACCGATTTGCGTAAACATACTCTAATTTATGAGGGTTTTTCACCCCTCCGTCGCGACTGGCACCCTCGCGCGATTTACGAGAAATCCCCGCGTAACCGGGGAGATTAGGCTCGTCCCGACTGATTGCCCTTCCCTTCTCTCGTTTACTATCTTTCTCGCAGACATCTCCGACGTTGCACCGTTATAGCGCCCGGCGGGAGCGGCAAAGAAGGGGAAAGAAGAGTCTTCTTGGGGCGCGATTATTACTTTATCTCGATCTTTGTTGCCGTCTCAGCCTCGGGCGATACGCGGCGCCGAAGACATCATTGAGATCCCGAAGAAACATTTTCTCTCTTCTCTCCCTTCTATCTCGTATTTTTTTCTCTGTCCTCCCTCGCGGCCGCGGCGGAGAGATCGGGTTTTACGATTTCGCCATCGCACGAAGCTACCCGTGGTCCCGCCCCTTTATCTCCCCGTCGGGTAATTCGCAAATGGAATAACATCCCTCGCGGAACAAAGAACAAGCAGACAGACAGAGAGAGAGAGAGAGAGAGAGAAAAAGAAAGCTCTGTGTCGCATTGTCTGAGTGAGATTTTTCGTGCGATAGCGATAGCCTCCGCCGCGGTTTCCGCACGAATTCGTTGTTGAGAACGCGCGCGCAAAATCTCCACTGTCGTAGTTCTCCGGATCATTCTGATCGTTCGAGGTGAAAAAAAGGTAAGAGATATCGTAGACCGAGATCGGAGACTACGTTCATCCAACGCGACAAACAAAATCATCGGAATGAAAAGAACTGCCCGAGTTTTACCCTTAGTAGAACCTTCGACTCGACCCTGCAGTCGAGTGTATTTTTATAAAAAAAAAAACATAAACGTCTGTAAAAGGGAAGGGGGGGCGTGAGTTTTCATAAATAACGCGATGAAATAGATATCGTAGAAAAATATTGATGTCATGGTTTGAAAAATTATAGCATAACGTAGAAAATATGCGGTTAAAAAATTAATCTCTTGTACTTCTTTGAGGACTTGCTTAAATGTTATTTTATCACAAAAGTATATGTACGTTAACACATATATCTCGAATGGATCATTATATGCTTTCGTATATTCAGGATCGGGTTACGCGTTTTCTCGCTCGTGATAAACGGAGTTAGATTCTCCGTTAAATACGATGAGCTGTTTCGGAAATACGAGAAGAGAAAATACACTTCCTTGTCTCGGAGTCGAAAGATACGTGCCTAGATGTACGCTGGTGATAGCGGTATCTTTTTTGTCCGCTATCTCGCTATATTACCTCGCCCGTTTCTTCATGCATAAGCGCGTCGACTTCTCTCAGAAAGAAGTCTCCACCATTGAGCGGCGAGTGAAAATCGATTCTCACGCAAATATCTTATCGAAGATAGTTATCGACTCGTCGAAACTACCTACCTCTCCTTCCTCCTTGCAGTCGCAGGTTAATCTGCCGTAGTGGTCGCAGGAGCAGGGCGAATAGTCGCACCTGCTGGTGGAATTGGTCAGGACGCCCTTGAATAAGCTGCTCCAAAAGAGTCCTAAGATCGCGCTGCTTAACACATATTTTGTTGCTCTCATTTTGCGCTTCTCACTCGCTCCTTCTCCCCCTCCACTCTCTCCTTCTGCCATACACGCTCAAAGGAACTCTTCTCCGTTCCACGCCACTTCTTCCTTATCAGCGGTCGCTTTATGCCGAGACGGCGCCAGCCAATTTCGCATCGAGCCGGCCGCGAAGTCGCCTCGACATGTCTGTATCTCGAAATCCGCGCACCGTCGAATATCTGCTTGTTATTCGCTTTCAATTTTCGTAGCGGTCACTTTTTTGGTTTTTTTAACTTAACATACAATTAAACAATGACTGTAATCGCGATGACTTTCGCGATTAATCCGCTTGCACCATGGAGAGCTATCTCGACCTCGTCGCGGCACGTGACACACGCCACGCAACGTTACGTGATTCGGTCATAATCTGCGCCTCGCCTATAGCTCAACTCATGCCTCGCGATGACGACGCTCGTCCGGTATTGGATATATATCTCCGAAGCTTATTTCGAACCGCCGGCTCATGTGGAATCTTCTACCACGGCATTCATCTCGACGCTTCGTTTCCTCGCTGGGATGCGATCCAATTTTGTCGGTGACAACGTGCAACGTTCTTGAACATCGCGCGCCACTTCGCCGATAGATTTCTTCTTGCCTTTGACTTTATTCTTCTCTAAGCGATCGTCCGTCTCTGTAAGAATGGAAAAATTAGGAGCAATCTCGCGGTTTTCTCTACATGTACACAAACTAAATTTTTCTGAAATTTATTCTCGCCGCGCGTTTCATCAAGTTTTGCAAAAGTAACATCGTAACTACTCTCAACGATATCGCATGAATTTTGTTTCTCCTTCTGCCCCTCCTTTGATAACTACTACGCTGCGTTATCATGTTCAATCGTACAGGGACGGACGTACTGTTGAAGTGCCATACGATATCGCTGCCTCAAACGATAGCGACACAATATCCGACGATGATAATCCGTGACCACTCTGCTATTCTCTCACTGTATACCGTTGCGTGACTAATCGTGCCTACATTCCTACGTTATCAAAGTCTCTCTCGCTCGGCATGACGTGGTTCTGTTTATCGTGTAAATATGTCAACTTGCCGTTATTGCAAACTTTTCGCGTTGGTGAACGTGTTCCTCGCTTTCGCAACGTAATTATAAAATCTTCTTATTTATCGACTTTTTCGTACTAGTCTCAGTAAGTTGAAAATTTATAATATCAAGAAAAAGAGAGAACTGAGATAAATTGTTTTAAGTTATGAAAATTTAAAGCTACATTTCATACACATCTTCGATTTTCTACAATAAATAAGAAGTTACAAGTTGTTGCAAAATATATCTTATTTAGAATTAATCATTACGTGTTTTATTTTGTGTTTAATTATATAAACTACTGTTAGGTGTAATATTATTCTATCTTAATGAATTACACCTCGAAGTTGCAAACGGAAAATAATAACTTTAGAAATTACGATCATAGATAACCAATGAAATGTATCTTTGATAGCTTTTTTTTTTGATGAGATAAACTTTGGTCTCAGATCGTAACAAAAAAATGAAATGGCACGCTTGAAGCGGGCGAGATCGATAGACATGAAAGGAACGTCGTGAATGAAAGGCAGTCCTCTCTCATTCAAAGGATTCGAGAAGAATTTCCCTTTACGGTTGAGTCCTTCCAGCAACGACCGCTCGAAATTTCTTCCGGTCCGTTTTTCAGTCTGTCCCTCTCACGACTTTTTGCTCTACTTTCAGTGCCAACAAAAAGAGATATCTCACTATTATCGCGGTGCTTTTACTACGCTAATTGCTCGTTGAATTAATTAAACTAGTTTGAAAAGAAATTTATACACAATTTCAATACTCAGCTTAATCAGAAAAATATAGCTCAGTTTTGCTTTTTCATTCTTTTTTTTAATTGAACGTTAAACTTACATTATTTCAACTCGTCAGAGACGTATATTTAGATATCGTTCTTTCTTTCTTTCAATATTTAGATATCGTTCTTTCTTTCAATTGATGAGAAATACATATGTGAAATTCATGTAAAAACAAACATATATTGTACCACACATGTGTGCGCGATCAATATATATATATATATACATACACACACACCACATATGTATATTTATAATTATTATAAAAAAGCTAATTTAAATTGTTCTAATTTCTATGTTCGAGAAATTTGTGTTTTATTTTCGCTTCATTACTATTATTGTCATTTTCAATAACAGAGATAATATCGCGCGAGAAAACTCATATGTCGCGGTATTGATCTGTAGATCGTTTTCAATTAAACGAATATTCGCGTTTGCTCCTCGGCGATCGATGGCGAAAGAGCAGGTGCGCGCGATCGTTCGTGCGCGATTAATTGACCGGTGGCGGGTCAAACTGGATGTCGGTTCTCGCGCGCTGCGGCTATAACGAACAGGCGAGGCAGGACGGAGAAATAGAGTCAAACATACAGTGCACACACGTCGAAAAAGAAAAAAGGGAAATACGGAGCAATTCGATAACGGAATTGACCGGACGGACAGACGGGAAGACAGAGCGAAGCACACGAATTATTTCGGACCGGCGGAATCACCGCGGTCGAGACGATTAAACGTTTCGGCCCGTCTGATTTACACCTCGTTAATGGATATTCATATATATTCGGAAGCTCCGGAACCAAACAATCGAAATTGTCTCCGCGTATTTATTGTTCCAGAAACACACTAGAACGGATCGACAGCTATTCCCATCAGTCTCACTCTCTCTCTCTCTCTCTCTCTCTCTCTCTCTCTCTCTCTTTTTCCGTCTCTTCGACACGCGATAAATAAGCTACGAGGTGATACGAGATATGTGTAGGAGGTAAATCGTTTCCGATTACGTGACTTCTTCCTCTCACTCGGAATACCGCGTCGATTTTCTCCGACAACCACGTACGCTATACACACGAGGCGAATCGTTCGATCTCACCCTCACGCGCTTCGCATAATATCGTATATGATTTCTCGTCGCATTGCGTACGATTTGAAAAGCGAGTAAGAACGACAACGATTCTCCGAGCGAGCAGCACTCGAGATATTTGCTTTTATTCCTTCGGTAACGTCTTATCTTCCTATCTACTTTATCGCCGCGACTTGCAAAAATTGTCCGCCCCCTCTCTCGGGAAAGCGTTTGCAGTTCTCGGTGGTAACGATAAAAGAGGCCGAAAGAACGGTGGAGGTGAACACTGATCTACATCCTCGCACTGGTCTAGCTCACGAAGATCCAGAAAAGAGAGAAGTAATTTTTTCGTACTCGGGAATTAAGATCGGATTTCGGGATTGCGACCCGCTCGCCGCTGAGACGAGGGTTAATCCGGTGATAATTTGACTATGATTTCGTTTTTCCGCATTCTAATTTATTAGTAAACGTAAAAAAACCCGGAATTTTTATCATATAATTACAGTCTGTTATTTGTGGAGAACACAACAATAATGGGTTGTAGAACATTACACGTGCGACGCGCTTGTCAAATGGTCTAAAAGCTGTTTATACAATGCCACCAGCAAAACGTGTCTCATTATAATGCGGAAACAGCCGAGTGTCATCGTTGGTCGTGACCCGGTTCGATCATTTACGTATTAAAACGATGTGTTTTGAATAAAGTCGGCTGTCACCAGAAGCGCGCATAATGTGGTTGACAAATTACTGCGGGAAAGAGGAAGAGAAGGAATATATAGTACATAGAGCGTACGGCTATGTAACATTGATTATTGATAAGCTCTTTCTCGGTCACGTTTAGCTAATTCAACCGAAGCGTTAGAGTGTATTTTGATCGCTTGATGTGGCCGCGTTTTAGTCGCAATTTCGGCCACGCAACATGCCCGCTTTTTTGAAGTTTTATCGAAACTCCAGAATCGCGCCGTCCCACTTCATTGCACTTTCATTCCGACTAGCGACAAACGGGTTTTTTGTGCGATGAGTTTCACGTAATCAGAAACAGAATAGAAACGCCCCCCACTTGATTGCACATTTTATTTCTACAATAAATCAAATTTGACAAAAAGTTATCTTTTCTTTTTTAATGAAAAAATGTCACATATTTTAATTATGAAGACAGTTATTTTAATGATTTCGTTAACTTATTAATATTTTATTAGTAACATTTCGAATAACATTGATAAAAAGTAAATTTTATCAACAATTTTTGTTCAAAAAAGAGATGAATTATTTAACAGCATTTTTTGATTGATTATTTATTGATGCATGTTTGACGCATCGCTATTTTGAATGCAGTTGTATATTCCGCGGTTCCGCGCCAGCTAAACATTTACAATGACGAGTCGAACACGCCAGGATTGAACTGTCGGTTTGCGCGCGTGAAAAATAAAATCACGTGTGTCAAGTGATACAGTGAGCGCTGTAACGGTCCGATGATGATCCTGTTTAAATAGAGAACGATTCAAACGCGGCAACTAACGCATGCACTTGCTCATTTTCATGTTTGTTACGATAACGAATGACGATGTTTTCGAACGCGTACGTAAAATATTAGTTTTGTTCGTTATCGATATCGCGTTTTTAATGCGACATACGGCTGCTAGGTTATCAGCATGAAGCTGATGATAACCCACATTAGAGAGAACGTACACAACTGTCTTTTCTAAACGACACTAGTTTTTTTTACATTCTTTCCTTTCCAAATAATCGGCAATAAAAGATTTCAAGTTTGTTCATCATAAAGAAAAATCGACCAACGATTATGTTGACATAATAACAACAAATTTCTTTGATATGATAAAAATTGACAGCTTAGAATAGATCTTTTCAGTGTTCGAATTTTTCTCAAGAGTACGTTTATATTTTATTTGTGTATGTTGTACCTCACATAATTGTTTCCAAAAATAAAATTATTGCAATTGCAAATATCTTAAGTTTCGAGTTAGAAATGTTACAAATTAAGATCTAAACTTTGATTAAAATAATGACACATAAGAAGATTATTGGAATATAACGTTTCCACATCCGATGTGGAATATCTTTTGACTGCTCGATTTAATTCAAGTACATTTGCCGCTGCGGCCCTGTGCCCCGTAACTCAACTCAAGTAACGTTATGCATGCAACGTAGAGAGAGCAACGCCGAGCGGAATGTTTAGTCTCGCGGCATTGTTTTCAATTTCGAGAGAACAGTAGGCGAGAAGAGCGAGTCCCAGTCGAGAGTACTTCAACATCGTTACGTCACGAGCCCTTAGAGACTTTCATAAATCCCTTTTTTCTCCGAAATTTCACGGTACAACAATTACTCGTCTCTGATATCAAATGTCCAGAAATTATATGCAAATTTTGAAGAAAAAAAAACAAAAAAAAAATCAGATCCTTGAAGAAACTTGAATGGTTAGATCAATATCTCACTTATCACGTATGTCAAGTTTGACACAGAAAATTTTCTGTTATTATTTGAAAAACCATTTCTACGAGAATGTACTACAAACAATTTCCATAGATATATTTAATTCTGTACAAGCTCTATTGGAATTCTCACAGGCAATCGGCATATCTGATAAAACTTGTACGACAAATGCAATGTCGACCTTATTCACGCGTGACGCGACAATTAAACGTCTTCTGCTTGCCAGCGCGACGACGATTCTTTCTACGACAGCGAAGCAGGCTAGTGGCGAGAAACGAGCAATTAATCGTCCCTACAGCTGGCACGCGGGTTGTAAGAGATAGCGCGCCCGCACGATGCCACGTGGGAAATCAAGTATTACGGTCTCTTGCGATGATCCATCCGACCGAGCTTTCCTCAGATGTTACGCGCGATCGCACAGAACAAACTCAACCGTCGTCGCGACGATCAAGTTGAATTTCTTGTCGCCGCGTCGCGACGACACTGACGTTCGTCGTCAAGTGACGACCGATCGACTTCACGGAGCGCTGCGAATCGCATTTTATTTTATGATTCGACCCGCGGTCACGTTATTTAAACCGTCTTAGCGAAAAGACCGTGCGCAGACTAGGTGTGTAAATTGCTCCCGATGCGTGATGCAGCTGCTGCCGCGTGACGCCGCCGATCGCGTTATGCAACGATCGTGTGAGAGGATGTGTTCGTACGCAAAAATAATCGGGCAATAATTAACTAGTAACGTATAACTCCGAATATTCAATTTTTAATATTTGAAAAACGATCTCTCCTTGTGCGTTCTTATGGTGAATTACAAGCGCGTCACTAATCGGCACAAAAATTGTGGCTATTGGTACTGGGTGATCATGTATGTTTTTTTTTTTAGACTATCATTGAAATAGGTTTTTTCACTCGCGGGAGTATTACGCTTCACAAGAACACTTCTCCGTTATGTGCCGGCCGTTCGTTCTCTCACGAATATAAGAACACTTGGAACGAGAGCTATCACGCCGAGTGTATACTATACGTGTATACGTAAGAACAGGTCTGGCATTACCTTAAATTCCATACCCGAGCAAACTCACGACGCGTCGTCGCCGACGCGCGAACAGCGACTGGCCGCCTTTCGAATTCGCGGCTGCTTTGCACCTCGGCGACGGTTATCGCGACACGAGTATTCTCTTTCTCTCTCTCTCTCTCACTCTCTCTCTCTCTCTCTCTCTCTTTCTCTCTCTCTCTCTCTCTCTCTCTCTCTCTCTTTCCATCAATCCTTCCCTTCTCCTACGCCATCCGCTTCCTCCCGCTGGAGTAAAACGCATCCCCACTGTGCGCAGCAAACTTCCCTCTCTCAGCCAGCGCTCTCAGTGCGTTTTCTGCTGCGTTACGGCGCATCTCGTTTCTGTTCTTCTCGTTCTGGTTTTCTTTCTCTCTTTTTGCAAAAATTCTAAAAAAGTCCAATTTAATTGTCTTTATAATCCTTACACGGAAGTTTAAAATAATCTTTTTTTTTTACTGTTTTGGCAGTAGTAGCAAATCATGTGAAATAAGTGTGATTCTTAATAAAATATATTTACAGGTTTTATTGATGAGATGTAAGAACAGTAAACATTCTTACTTACAATTAGTTGTCAACAAATATGATAAAAACAAGTATCGCAGTTAGAAGATGTATTAAGACGTATTTGTATACTAGAATGTATTATTTTATCTATATTAGACGAGATCTACTTGCATGTGTATGGTTATCTCTTGAGAATATCTGAGTCAGGTGATATTTATCGTCGTTGTAGTCGATGTGTCACTGAAATAATGAATCAATTAGTCACAAAAATCGCAAGCATCGCTATTTCATTTGCATCTATCTTCTTTTTTATCTTACTTGGTATCTACCGTGCGACCCTATTTGGCTCTTTTGCCGTCTTACGGTTGCAAACTTCTTATCAGTCACGACCGATAAAGCATGGCTGATAAGGCCGTTAAGTCTTGACGCTTTGGCTGCTACGATCGCATCTTTCTTTCGTAATGGCGAAAATTTATTTTTATTATCAGCTTTTACGTAGAAAGCGCGTGTCGCAATTTCTTAAATATACATGTAAAATTTCTTTGTTGTAGATAACTCTTTTTTCTTTAATGAAAAATTGCAGTTTCAGATTGTGTTTTTATTTCGACAATTTGATTGTAGTGTTTTAGTAAAATGTAAATTTTCTAATATATCATTACTTCGCATTTTGTTTTCTTAGTAAAAGCATTGGATTAAAAAGAAAAGATATTTAATGAAGCCAAAGAGTTTGAGGGATTAATAATTGCTTTGAGATACTTAGAGATTGCGTTGACAACGTGTGATAAATTGCTTTTGATAAAATTCTCCATTTCGTGCTTTGATGTACATTTCCTTTTGCATTTTTTAAATCTTTAATGCTGTTTAAAAATTTTTCATACAATTTTCAAGAACATTGAAATTATAAAGTTGTATAGTTTTAGTGATACTGTCAGGAGTCAAAAATCTTATTGCAATTAATGTTTTTATGAATTCCGATATTATATAAAAACAAAAAAAGAAAAAAAACATGTTTTTGATAGAAAACACAATAATGTTTCAAGAATGAAAACATTAACGCTATTGTTGAACTCTCTTCCTTATCTGATCTAAAAATTGATTTCGTCATTTGCTCTTCTGACAAGAGATGTCACGAATGACATTGCTACGCTGTAAAATCCATACGACGGCCTTCAACAAACGTTATTGCTCTCGTTACATTTCGATATTTTGACAGCTATGGATTTTCGGAACGTTGAATTTCCATACAGTATCGATTTGCTTCTGAAAATCTCAAGCAAGCAAAGAAATATAAATACAAGCAGAGCGCGACATTCAGTTTCGTGAGTAATTGCGCAACGATTCGTACTATCTCGTATTTCGATAACAACGATTTTTTACGATCGGTTTTGCGCCGCAATCTGAAAATCCTACTATCTGGATTTGTGACAGTTTCACATGACGTCGCGCGTAAAAATATTTCATAATAAATGCAGTTACTGCCGCATTTATTTCAATTTTCGGATTTATCTTGTTTCCATTTTTTCCCAACATATTGTGTGTGTCTCTTACGCAACACCAGTGGACTTTGTGCACATCGGTAAACGATAAGCCACGAGCTTTCGAATCTTCAAACGAACAAATCTATTAATAAATCAACAAATCTATTTGTGACACAAAATTCTAATACACAACAGAACTCAATGAATACACATTGACGATTATAATATTAATATAGGTCATCTTGAAATATAATTAGGGATCGGAATGCTTTGAAACCAGTATAATTTCAAATCCGATTCACTTCGTCGATGCGTGATGGCCATTCCTGTGTTTGTTCGCAACAACAGAAACGCGACAATTAACGACTGCAGCATGGAAATTGATCTCATGAATATTGCACCGCTTTCATGCAACGTTCATCGGCGGATGACGCTAACGTTGCACATTTCATTGAATTACGTGTGTTTAAATTTTATTTTATTTTATTTTAGCAGCAAGTGCGCTTACTACACGTCGCCATTCATGACTCGCAAGTCATTGCTTATCGCTCGCTAATGTGCGCGCGGCCTTACACTTGTACTTAGTTTCGTTTCTGCAAAGCATGTCGTAATGTTTCGTCAAAAAAAACCTCACGAATCAAAATCTCACGCGAGAAATCACGCGGGTCAACAATTCACCTTCAACTTCGCGCGAAGAGAACGCGGTTTTCCCGAGATCTTTTCCGATAAGAAGCGTACTTTTTTGGTGATCGATTTGTCGCAATGCTGCGCGACTCATTTCGTAGCTGCCGACGTTACTCTTTCTCTCTCTTCTCTTCCCTTCTTTTCTCCCTCCCTCTCTCTCTCTCTTTTTCCCTTCCCTCCGGTGCAGCCAAACGTCATATCGCACGAGTAAAATATCGAGAAGCCCGCGATCTGACTGCCGCCGAAGATTAATCGCGACCGTGGCTACTCTCGATAGATTTTCCAATTTCGATATGACGTTGAAAAAGTAGCGCGACTCTCCGCATGTGTGTGTATGTGTGTACATGTGTGTTGTCGACGATCACGACCGAACGGAAATGCACGCTCGAACGGATGATATTAAGTATTCTCCATATTGATACGCCGCTCACACCGATAATCTCAATTGAGATTATATCAGTATGTCGTTTCGTATGACGTATTACCGCCGCTACGCGATCGCACCGCGCTAATTTTTTGCTCGACCCAAACAGATGATTAATTACCGTTAGATATACAAGTCTGACCTAGTTAGTTAACTAGATAGATTTGATAAGCCCAAAACTGTTGCACTCGTTTCCGTAACTATTTCCATGTGTGTGACTCTGAACAACATGAATTAGTGAGTTTTCTAGTATTAACTTTACTAGAGAGAGTTTTCTAGGCAACTCCAAATGTTTGTTTGACAAAACTGTACTTTTTCTCTTCTACTTTCAAAGAGATCGATATTAACGAGTTTATTATTCTAAATATGAAATTCACAATAATATTTGAAACTCGGTGGAGCTTGTATTCGATTATCGAGATGCTTCATCTCTTCTTCAGTTCATCTTTGTACCGTGATTGATTAAAAACGCATTTGTGTGTAGCGTTCGTTTTTCTAAAGAAATGTTGAAACTCTGATATGACTCTGCTCTTCTCCAACATTCGACTTCTTCTTCGGGATGCTTCAATCGTCCGTGCGCGTTTCGTATAAGCTTTTCTTGAGAAAAAAGTGAGCCTACCATTGTTGCGAATTCATTGCGAAAATGACGTTTTACGCGTACCTCGCGAGGAGAGTGGAAAACGCAGCGAAATGCATCCCGTCAAATGGAGCTTGCGCGCGACAACGTTTGCTCGTTCGCTCGTTCGCTTAGTGAAATGCATCTGGAAATTTGTTTTACCGCGCGGTGGAAACAAAAGTACACATATCTTACCAAATGGGAAAACTTCGCAGTTCAACAATGAAGGGAGGATTACACGTGAACATCGTTGTATATGCGACGCATGTGTCGAATATAAACAAGAACTCGGAGACTACAAGGCGGAATTTTACGCTTGATAATATCGCAAAATAAAGAACGAAGTGAAAAAAGATCGCAAAACTCATCAATAATTCTATGATTGAAGAATTATTCGAATAAATATATAAGTAATATCAGTTTTCCTGTTGAGACTTTTCTCAGTATTATTACTATTATTATTTCTATCGGCACTACAAATCACGAATGAGAGAAAGAGAGAGAGAGAGAGAGAGAGAGAAAGAAAGAAGGAGCGCCAAAACATTAATTACTTACGTGTCAGTAGTCGGTTCTAAAATAGTTTCAGCTGACGTTAAACAAGAAATCACACTAGGAAAGTAGGAAAGATTAAGAAGAAAACACGGTAGGTATTTCCATGCGTGCACGTCTGCGCAGAAATATAAATTGCTGGTAGTTGAGACTGATAAGGTGGAATCTATAAGATCTCTTTGCAAACGTATCGAGGGGACGAATCTTGAATCGCGCGCTGCGCGCTAAGAAAGATAATCGTTGTTAGAGAGAGTGGCAGTCGCGACCGCATCCGGGCGCGGCGAAACTAGAAATTCCAAAACCCAGAAATTCCAGTGCCCGATAACACCAACGGGACCATAAATGTAGCGTTTCGGAAACGACGTGCGCCGGCAGCTCGCTGGGGCGATATATACTGCTGTTTCCCACCGGAAGTTATAATTGTTTGCCGAGTTTCTCCTGGCGCTCGATGCCCCGGGGAGAGCAACGTTGTATCTGACTCCACTCTTCCTAGTGTTTTCAACGGAGAGAAATAGAAAGAGGAAGAGAAAGAGAGATTATAGGGATGGGAACAGTACTCGTTACTTGCGTGCAAGCGGCCGCGGGATTTTGTTACAGGCGTCATGATATTTTCGTTTTCTATGCACCTCTACTACAATTTTGCTGTCTAATCTTTCACTGCAAGCGTTTGCAACATTATAAATCTTGCAAGATTCATAAAATTAAAGGTTTTATACATCTTTTTATTTGTTAAATATATGAGAACGAGATGGCACTTTATATGTAGAACGAAATTCCGTACCAAGCAAACAGATGACATTCAACACAAACTTTACTGCGATTGGA